GTTTACGCCACAGTTGCATGCAAAAAATGCTGAAATTAGTAACTAACTTCTCAAATAAGTCCAGTGTGTTGTTTCTTTCTGTCATGTGTGTATAATATTTGTGTTTTCTTGTTTTTATGATTGAATGCCTAACACAGTTATCATCATCATTGTCATGCATATTTATATAAATATTGGACTTTTTTGGATCACTTAAGTAGCATTTAAATACAAGCACATTTAAGATGGTTGTACTGTTTTTCATGGGCGTATCAGAGTCCAGTAGCTGTACATATTTGAAGATTCAGTGTGCTTGTTGAGGCTTAAGAGTTGTTGTTAGAGGCATGGTACATGGATTAAAAAGAGAGGGAAAGAAAAATAGGGAACTAATTATACTGATTAAGTAATTAGCAACTTCAGTAATGAATTTTAATATATCTTTAGTAAGGGACAAATTACTACGTTTTACATTGCCAAAAAGCATGTGAGATTTGCCAGCACCCTTCTAAGTTGCTCTTGACGAGTCAAATTCTGTGGATAATGCTACAGTCACAATGAATTTATAATCTTGTTGCCTTTGAAATAGTTTCTTCGAAGACAAGGACCAGGTTTGTGACCACTTGCAGGTAGCTGCTGTTTTCAAAACAACTTTGACGCTTCAAGATGGCGATGAAACGCTATCAGTCGGCTATCAGTTTGGCAATTACATGCAATTTGTTTGTGATGATATGCGAATTAACTCTTATAAACGCAAATATGTTAAAAATATTTTGCAGGCCAGTTCCGTTCATCGGCACAGACTGACTGAGATGGATTGCGACATGTTGACAATCAATCACCGCAACTACTTGCATTCAGTCGCTGAATACGAAAAAATTTTTTTAGTCCAATCACCAGGCAACCATCCATTTTCCCTAGTCACAGGGATATTGCTGTCCTATTTTTACTTTACTGTGACTGAGTAAGAAAGCAGCACTTGCAGATGATTAGGCGATAGATGTATATACACTCTGTGCATGTGTTATAGTCACTATAGTCCTCAGGATGTGATGTACTGTTCCCTCAGGCCATCGCCCAGTGTGAGTGCATTTGTAAAAACCTGTAGCAGTGAAGTGAGAGGAGCAGGATTTTAGCAGACATTGTGAATGCCCTGTAATTGTAGGATAAATCTACTTCTCTCCTCCTCCTCCCTCTGAACACACTCACATTTCTCCTTCCTCTGTCTTTCTAGCTCCTTATCTCTGTTGCAACAGCACAGGATGGATTAACTTTACAGAGGTTCTTTAACTTTTGGATTCTTCCTCTTCCAAAAGAATTGCACTTTATGAGATTTACGAATTCAACATTGCTAAATCTACAAAGATTAAGCTTTTCATTTCCCATGCTAAAAGATCTAGTGATCTACTATATGGCACTGCAACATCGAGATAATGATATATATTCCAGTTTGTATGATTAAATAGTATATCTACTAAATCTATTGCGTTCAAACAATTTAACAATTTTAAAATTAGTTTTTCTTTTTAATCATTAAAAACAAACATTTTCTGCTTTGATATCAGTAGCTCTGACTACTGTTTCACAAACATACCCTTGTCTCTGCAAAGCACTGTTACTTCTTCCATCTGTAGAAAATTTCCATGTGCACTTGCACGCTTGGCTTTGTGTGAATAATGATTGTTTGCATAAAATTTCAGCGTATAATCTATATGCACAGTGGAAACATTTGTTGAGTTGTCAGAGAGAAGGAGGGCTGAGAGGATATTATAACTGTCTTTAATCTGGCTAAGCATACAGTATGGTTAATCCGGTGTCTTTGTTTTACACCGTCTTATTCCCACGATTTGTTTGCGTAAAACTATGTAATCTCACAGAGATTATTGTAATTCTGTCTCTCTCTTCTTTTTTTTTTATCTTTTATTTCAATACAAGCATTTGTTGTCCCCAGTCTTATTCTTTTCAGGGCTAAACACGTTCTGGATTTTTCAGTGGGTATTAATCTTTAAAGCTGGGAGACCTATCATTTTAAACATGTTAGTTCCCTACAACTACACCCAAAGAACTGTTTGCTACTCAGTTGTTTTTAATCTCCCCAAGTAGACATTGCTAAATTCTTGATTGAGGGATCCAGCCATGCACAAGTGGTACTAGTGCCATCAAGTCTTTCACATGGATGTTGAAGTATTACATTTGATGGCTTGTGATGAAGACATCACAACGTTGCCAAGATCTTAGACTTTCAGTTAAAGCGGTTAGCTCTTTTGAACTCGATAGCTAACAAAAATATAAAGTACAGGGCACCATAACTGATGAGTTTGTGCTTTATCCAGCCTCTTCAGAATAATCTAACAAACCAACAAACTAAACAGTTTTTTGAAGCAAATCCCTTCTATAAGTAATCCATAAATTTATGTAGCTAACTTCCTGTCTCCTCTGTCTTTTCTCTCTTTCTCAATTCCAGGCTCCGACTACTCTCCCCCTCCCCCTCTTCCTCGACCTCCTCCACCTGGCCTGACCAATGAGCACAGTGGTGGCACTAGCCATGGCGACCATGGTGGAGGAGGGGGCGGGGTCAACCATGGAGTGGGCGTGGTTGGTCTGGCTCCAGAGCACATCCCCACACCGGGGGCAGCCCTGAGCTGGCAGGCGGCGATCGATGCCGCGCGGCAGGCGAAGATGATGGGTAATGCCGCATCGGGTGGAGGGGCGGGGCTTGGGTCCGGAGGGCGAGGGCCCATCTCCACGGCCAGCTCCACGCAACGGAAGAGACAGCACTATACCGCTAAACCCAAGAAACAAACCACAACGACAGCCACAAGGCCGCCACGAGCTCTACTCTGCCTCACACTCAAGAATCCTATCCGCAGGGCCTGCATCAGCATCGTAGAGTGGAAGTATCCTTCAACAAACTATGGGCAGAGGGTTGTTCCCTGTGTAGTGCTTTCTCATAGATCAGATCCTTATCAATTGGTTGCATAGTCTAAAGAAAATCAGCTAAAAGTAGAATTTGTCCATGTCAGTTTCAAAATGTAAAGGGTTATGGCCCATCTTTATCAAGCGCTTTGGGTGCCTTGAAAAGCGCTATATAAATCCAATCCATTATTATTATTATTATTGTACTGGAGAGTTGTATGATGACATTTCTATATTTTACAACTATATATAATTAAAGTAAAGTATTAGCAAAGGTTATAGAGCAAGGGGGGCAATTACAGTTTTCCCAGACTTCTAAAGAAAAAGATATTCTCCCTCTGCTGGCCATTGTATAGAATACAAGCTTAAAGCACTTCCTCATTGGCTCACCTTTAAGGCCCAGAAGCTACATCCATCTTTTATATACAGTTCTTACTGCAACCATATTCCACCCCCTTGTTTTTTAGATTTAGGATGAAATTATTGGAGAGACGCAGATGGAACAGCATGTAATAAAAAAATAGAATTATAGCTAATTGATGTTTTTATATGTATGATTAATAACTGGTAGAGGATGCACAGGTGGATTTACAAACAGCTGATTCTTAAGCGTCTTTTTCTGTTATTTCAAAGTGGATTTATGTATGTCTTTTGGGCCTTTTTGTCCTACTGGACATCCATTCCCATTCTTTAATTTTAACTTTAAAATTTCTTTCCAGGACAATGAGTAAAAATTTCCATGGTCCACTGAGAATATTTTATCCCCTTCCTCCCCCCCATAATGATAATCCCGTTCGTATGGGGCTTTAATCAATCTCTCTCTGTCCTCTAGCTCTCAATAAGTGTGATTTTCCCTCTTCACTCAGTAGTCTTAATCCCTTCTCCCCTTCCTCTGCCTGCCCTTCTCCCTCTTTTACTACTCTTCTCTTTCATCTTACATTCTTTATTTCTGTTTTCTCACAGGAGGATGAAAAAATTGTCTCATTTTCATCCCTCCTTCACACTTCTCCCCTTGCTATTTCAAAGTGTATTTATCCTCTTTCCCCCAGGTCCATCCACACCTCTGTTCATCCTTTACCTCCACCCCCCATCCTCCACCTATAGGAGTCTCAGCATTTAATAGCCAACCCTCCCTCTGTCCACCCAAATCCCAAATTCTTACTGTTCTTCCTTTCAACCCTGCTTCTCCAGTTTTGTTTTGTTTTTTTAAAATCTATTTTTAAGTTCCTGAACATAATGACATGGTTCTCCCTCAGGGTGCAAAAGAGACGGGGAAATGGAGAGATAGACAGAAATGGCCTGTGTCACACTCAAAATAATCAATAGTAGGTGCATGTCCACATAAGCCTCGACTCAGCAAGAGCACAATTGCACACGGTTCTTAGAGGAACAGAAGGAGAGGAAAAGGAGGGGTCAGGAAAATGAGAAAGGCAGGGATGTGGGCAGGACATTGATGTCGACAGGAGAGATAATGGAGCTGAGTAACAGAGAAGGGACGGAGGGAGTGAGAGATTGAGGGGAGGACGGAAAAGGTAAACAAGAAAATAGTAAGTGGAGTGGAGGGAAGGAGGTAGAGGTGTGGGTTTAGAATAGAAGGATCATAAGGGAAGAGAAGAGGAAGGAAGTAGAAAGCAGTGCAAAATGGTAGGAAATAGAAGAAGATATAGGAAGTATGTGTTTTAATGCATGTGCTGGGTGGGTTGCATTAACAAATTAACAAGTCACAATAAATCAGTGTTGATAATATTATAGGCTCTAATGGACCTCACATGTTCACACTATAAGCTAGTCTGAAAAACATTGTTCAGACTACTTGATAATGTCCAGATCAGAAAGCTGAGATTGTGCATTACTGTTAATTGTTTTACCCCTTAGTGTCTGTTAATGAACAAAAAACAACACTGCATTTGGGCTGCCTAATGACTTCCAGACAGAAAGATGAATATGCTATACTAGCTCTTTTTGTAGCAGGGACAGATCTAAAGGGGGCAAGGGGAGCAACTGGCCCCCTGCTGTAGAAACTTGCCACATCCAGCAGCCGCCCCAACTTTTATGTTCTTAAAATACTTTTCGTCTGTGCAAGACTGCCATTGTTTTGCCAGTGAGTACTGCACGGTGTGAGCAAAGTTTTTCTGCTTTAAAACTTGTAGAAAAATCCCTTTGTGTTTGTTTTCTTAGATGAGATAATGATACTTTAAATGGTTTTTGTGGATATTTTGGTAATTTGCCCCTCCTTTGCCCCACCATGTAAGGTTTTCTAGATTTTCCACTAACCCATTGTGGATACTACAAAATTCGTAGTATTAAGAGCTGTGCTTTGTACAACTTTACACCTGGAAAAACAAAATGGGAAGGATACTTTGGCTTTAGCTAGGTGGTTAGTTGCTAACGTCTCTTTACATTCTTTTCCTGTAAATTGCTAGCTAGAGCTTCCTTTCCAACTGTGTCATGAATATGGTGAAAGACAGGAAGCAGGAATAGTCAAGGATCAGACTCTCGTCTTTCAGGTCTTTCAGGTCTTTCAGGTCTTTCAGTCATCAAAAAGCAAATTTTATGACTATAACCTAGCCTAGCCTGGCACAGTGGGCATTGTTATCATCTGAGCCTGACATTACAGGCTGTATTTATCAAAAAACTACAACAAAAAAAGTGCTTAAGTTTCACAAATTTTAATTTGAACAAAAGTTTCCATTTACGTAGATTCCCTCCATCATGCAGGTTAACTTGTGAATCTGCCATGAATTCATCAAAGTGGAGTCAGACCTATATTATTGAGTTTGTTTATGGAAACGGTGAACGTGTCGTCCCGACAGTCACCTTGTGTATCTGTCATTATCGTGCCAATAACCTATCAACTGTCCAGCTGTGCAGAAGCTGGAAAATATAAGCCAAAAGCATGAATAAACCCTGAGGGCTGCTGGAACAATCTAACCCAGTGAACTGATGAGATTATTAGCCACAATTCCCTGAAATCATTCATTTAAACTGCTCAGTGTGGGAAGGAAAAGAGCGTTGGTGAGGTGACAGAAAGAAAATGGACATTAAAATGTGCTCTTAAAGAAAACTGCAGCTAAAAAGGCATGGCCTCTGAGTCACGAAGAAACGTGGAAGAAACACAATTAACACCATTAACACCAAGTCTTTGTTTTTCTGCTTTTCTATTTAACCTCCCTGCTATGGGATGTCCTTCGTAACTGCAGTGCGGGCATGCTGTTGAACATGTGGGTGACTCGGTGTCCACTCTGGTGTATGTTTTGTTTATATATGTGAGGCTTTATGCGTGCATGTCCTGTGTACTGTGAGTACCTCTGTCTCTGGAGATAGAGATCCAAAATCCTCCGCTTTTCCTCCTCTGTTACCATGACAACTGCTGCTGCTCTCAACAGGTCAATGGGGCCTGTCTAAGCTCACACAAGCACACACTCAGATTAGAGAACACACAGCAACACTCTTGAAGAACACACACGTACTTGAACACAGATGATAAAGGACTAAAACACAGACACACAGTGCTCTCGCGTGCTGTGTAATTATAGCCTGGAAACATTACCTGCACGCTGCAAGGTCAGCGAGAGAGACATCTTCCTAACTACCATGTTCTCTATATGAAATCACACTAAGTTGTCATTTTCAAAAGGTGTTATTTAGCGCATTTACAAACAGACACATGCATGCACACACTTCCCAGCTACAGCTAATAAACTCCAAAGGCTTACATGAAGAATTGCACTGTTCGTATACATTTTCAAACTCAGAAAACTAGATATCGGGATATCAGCATAACAAGTAACCTCACTCTCCTCGATAGTATAAGTATAGCCCAGATTCCTTACGGGCTTTTGAAAAGATAAGAGATTATCTGAGTTATTGTAAACTGTATGTGGCGTTTATGTGATCCAACTGTACAGAGAGAAGCTCTAGAAATAACAGCTTCAGGGGTACTAGGATGCAATCCCAAAGTGAAATTCTGTTCCAAGAAACACAGTTAGCCTGTCAGAATGCAGAATTTTTATATATATATATATATATACATATATATATATGTATATAAATTTGTGTGCTGCTGTCTGAGGCATGTAGCACCCAGGAAAATGTTACATTGTATCAGCCGTAAAAGCCTCTCAGCTTCATGGATGTTGATTTCAATTTTATTTACTCTGGTTAATTTTAGAGCTCTCAGTTTGCTTGCAGCAAAATGCTGATTCCCAGTGATATTTCTTTATTTCCTGTGGTCTTAAAGATGCATATTGCTATTGTTGTTATGCTAATTAATGTACGTTACGAATAGATTTGGTACAGACCTCCCAAATTTCCTCCAAGTGTTGTTTTGCTCTCAACAGCACAGCAGACAGTAGATTTATTATCATGCTGATGGAAGCAGACCTCAAGGGTTTTTGAAATTATGGGTCAGGAATGCAGAATGAGTCACAGGCCTATTTTTCAGTGGGTCCCCATATGTCTGAAGTGAGTTTAATGAGCCCTTGGTAGAAGGGTGAGTGATTAACTTTGATGCATTTTGGTCCCAAGCTGAACGAGCTGAATGATCTCGTGGCCGATGGTGTTCAAGAGTCAATTCTTAATCCAAACATAAACAAAACATTTGCTTGATGGTAATAATTTGAAGCTCTTTCTCTTTTATGTGTTTACAGTGCTGTTCTTACAACAGAAGTTAAGCCTCTAAAATGAATAGGAGGTCTGTTTCTAGTCACACAGCAATTATTAATGGTGCAAGTAGTATGATTGCTAAAATTGTTGGGGCCATTTTTGGGGAATTACTTACCCATTTCTTATTGGTCATCTAAACCTATTGCAAGCAATACTTCAGAAGACTATAAGGCTGTGATCTGTAGAACTTGTTGGGGTTAAAACGAGAAAATCCAAAGTAAATTCAGACTTTTGCATCCAATTCTTGTTTTTTTTTTGTTTGTTTTTTAAAAGTCATTTAAGATGTGTGCTGCAGAATCATTCCACTCTGGAACAGTTCAAAGAAAACATTAAAACCCCCAAATTACCATGGCATTCATGCCCATGTTGAATGTATGTAAACTTCTAACCATATCTGAATGTTGATTTATTTTTTACCATCTGCAACTCTACATAAGAAGTTTATGACAGGCCAGACGGATCCATGCTTTAATGATTTCTGCATCAAATTCTGACACTACCGTCTGAATGTAGCAGCAGAAATTGAAACTCATCAGACCAGGCAACATGTTTCCAATCTTTTATTGTTCAATTTTGGTGAGCCCATGTGAATTATAGCCTCAGTTTCCTGTTCTTAGCCGACAAGAGTGGCATCCAGTGTGGTCTTCAATTCCTGTAGCTCATCTGCTTCAAGGTTTTATGAGTTGTGCTTTTGGTGATGTTCTTATGCAACAAGTGGCCTCAACCATGTCTACATGTATAAATGCAATGAAGTGCTGTCAAGCGATTGGCTGATTAGATTAATTTACCAGTTGTTACAGCACCTGCCAAACCGCCACTTCCAAGTCCAACAGTGAGATTCAGTGTAGTGAATAATTAAACCCTGGTCTCAAGGACAAAAAAAAAAACCCAACTGCTTTCGCGGTATGATGCAATATGTTAGTGTCAGCTAATATATATGACTTTGCTGATGGTTTGTCTTCAGGATTGGAGGTTTTGACAGCTCGAGTCATCAGTACATTGCTGTTTACATTATACCTTGAGGTCTGGAGTCTAGACTAATTTGATATGCAGCCGAGAGTGAAGGCAGACAGGAGGGGAACAAAGTAAGAAAAGGAAGGTAAGAATAGAAGAAGAGGGAGGGCAAGAAGAAGGTGGAGGGAGGTGACAGCAGTGGCGGTTTGTAATTGTGTTGATGAAAACCAGAGCTCCTCTATCTCTCCTTCACACTCTCTCCCTTTCTTTCTCTTTATCTGTAGCTCTCCTCTCTCTCCCACCCCTCTCTTTCTCTCTCTCTCTCTCTCTGAGGGCCAAAATAATGAGGTCACTCCCCTCTGAAGGACCGTTCCAAATAAAAGCCCTCTGTGTCTCTCCTCTCTTATTCCATCTTGCTCTCACTCTTTCCTCATCCCGTCTTCCACGCGACAGGCCTGCTCCTTGCCGCACCCATATTAGGCCATGCAGCGTCTCTCTAACCCTCGCCTCCCTCCACTACGCACAAAGAGGTCTCTAAGTAAGCCAGCGTGTGTCATTGTTAACAAAAAGCCAAACTCACTGACTTTGATCTCTCTCCTTGTGTACACTCCTTGTGCACTCGGCGATGTTTATATATACCTATGCTTATGTAAAGATGTATTGCTGTGGTTAAAAATACTTCTCTGTTGAAACAACATGCTTAATATGAAGACTTTTTCTATACAAGGAGGTCAGAAACCAGAGTCTATATTATTTTGTGTTTTCCATCACAGATTTTAAAACCAACTCTGAGGTACTCCAAAAGCAGAAGAAATGTATTTGACTCAGTTTAATGTTTTTAAAGTGTACTCAAGTAAACCAAGATAATCATTGCTGTGTAAATGCCTTTGTATCTCTTGTTTTGTGTACACTATTCCACCTTAACTTTTCACTCAGACCATTTGAGATCATCATCCTGATGACAATTTTTGCCAACTGTGTGGCCTTAGCTGTCTACATCCCCTTTCCTGAGGATGACTCGAACGCCACCAACTCCAACTTGGTGAGTAGTGCATGATATTTAAGCTCTTTTACAGCTCAGTATGCTCGCTTGCGGCTTGGTATAATAGATGCTGCTTGGTTCACTGGGTATGTTTTTGCAGTCCTGTTGCTTCGGCCTGACACTTGAGTTACCTTGTGTTTGTAGGGGGTGATTTATTAAGCAATTCATTAGCAGCATTTGCTGTTTTTCCTTAGCGTTCTAGCGTGTAATTTGCACATTTCCGGTTGATTCATCCTTGTATGATTTACTGTCATGAACTGTATGCGGTTTTGCCAAGTTAGCGAAGGTACAGCATAAGAATGAGCGAGTAAAATTAATGAAAGGCAGAAACTTTGGGGAAAACGGGCATGGAATTACCCAAATTTTTTGAAAAGGTTATTGATTATAACTTTTAACTTGAGTTCAGAGTTGTGTGAAATATACAAAGCTTTGTGGGTTAATCTGCTCAAAGATGAGGCCTCATTTTTTGTGGGCAAAACCATCATTTTGGTCTGCACTGAGGAACTGCGAACTTTTGTTGGTGGCCTGACTTGACTTGTTTTAATTGGCTGATTTTCTTTCTTTCTTCTTTCATATTGTACTAAATGTTACATATTGAAGAAAAAATGAGTTATTAATAAAAAGAGATTTGCAAATTGTATTTTTGCATTGTTCATTCATATGTTAAGAGTTGATAAAAAGCTTTGTATTAAACCTTTGAAAAATTTAAATGGGTTTCAGAGCTACACTGACAGTAACCACAATGATGACACGTTAAACTCAGCCACGATTTGATAAGCTTCTTGTGATGTTAGGAATGCTTGGCTTTTTCAGTCATAAAGTGTCCCCATAAATGCTCAGTGAGGCTGCGGTCAGGTGCTTGCAGAGTATTACAGGTGAAGATTGGCGTTACACTTGGCAGTCAGTTGATTTACTGCTATTGTCCAGTTCTACAGTGTCCAAAATAGTCATGATTATATTTCCCTTGTGAGTTTGATACACTACAGTATACAGTATCAGCTTTCTCCTGTTCCTTACACGCACCCTTTCGTTACTGCTGTCATTCCTTTTTAACAGGTCTTTAGTGGACTGAAGTGTTGTGTACTTCATTTAGCAAATCCCGCAACTGTGGTGAAGCTACTTTTCTGTCTTTCAGTGAAAATAATGCCTGATGTATTGATCTTTTAATTATGTGGTCAGTTTTGTTCTGCCTGACCGTGCTTGGGAAACAGCTGAACCAGTTTCCACAAAGCATTTGATGTGACTTACACTTCCCCTTAAGAATCCTTCAGCCTAGCCATGAGTTCATATTGAGAAGTCCTCTATTTAGCCCTCCTTTAGCACACTTGATTCTTCACATTTAGCGTCTCAGCTTCTTGTGTTTTAAAATGTTTCCAAGTGCTCAAAGGATTTCCAGGTTTCTATGACTGATATTCAGCGTGGTTCCAAACTTTTAGACTCGACTGTACATGTGATTTATGTGCGTCACATATGTGTGAATGTGTGTGTCAGCTGGCAAATGTATGCCAGTGTATAGTTACAGGGTTTTTCCTGGCTCGAATCTCTAGGGCTTGACTGTGACTGTTAAAATAGTGAGTCTATTTTAACTCATGTGACAGAAATCTATGCATTTTCTTGTTATTTCATAGAATTCTTCTATATTTGGTTAAAAACGAATGTTAATATAATGCTGGTGATCTTTCCTTTGGCTCTGGCTAAAACCTCTTTGGGAGATGCCAAAAAATCCTGTATGCAGACAAAACCTTATAGTTAGAGGAGACTAATCCCTCTGAGGCCTTGTAACATCTGGCACTCTGTTTCCAACTCTTTCTTTCCTTCTTCCTAAGGATATCTTGTACAACTCACACTTTACTATGGCCTTCACATTTCCACACATCTCTACATGTTTGGAGAATGGTTCCGTCTTGTCTTCTGAATACAAATAGCAGAAAAAGAGGCCCCATTTAGGCTTTTTTCACCTTGCATACTCATAATGTTGTGTTGGACTTACAGCACATCTGTGAATGATTAAATATTTGTTTTTATTTGTTTAACTGTATGCCAACCCTCTAATTTCTCGCATAAAGATACAGTGTCAGAGCAGGTGCATATGAGTCAGCAAACAGACAGCTGTTTTTTATCTTCTAGATCCATGCCCATCACCTACTCTCTCTGCTTATCACGCTTTGCTTTTTAGCTCTTTAATCACACTCTTTCATATAATTTGAAAGGTTCTATTTATGTTATCAAACCGTTAATAAGATTAGCAGCACAGACTGACAGAACTTGATCCTTCAGAGGCATCGAGAAAGGCTGAACTTTCAGGTGAAAAGCAGCTAGCGCAGTCATTCATGTTGGAAACCCAAATGGAAATTCTGTTTTATGTAAATATTATTTTGTCTTTCAGTGCAGAAGAGGTTTTTACTTGAAATCTGAACTGTGTAATAAGTCTCTCAGTTTTTCCAACCGTATGGAAGCACCGTAGAGGGCTTCAGTGTTCTGAAACCGTATAAAGCACAAAGCCCTGGCACACTGTGAGGAACACTGTTAGATAAAATGCAAGACCTAAACAAAACTAGTGTCAAGTCATATATTTTAGCCAAGTTTTTCTTTTTTTTTTCTTTTTTGGACCCTACGGGTGGCCCCTCCCCACCTCCTAAGTTAATGAACAGATACAACACACACAACCACTACAGCTGTGCTCAATTAGTTTTATAACCTTCTGACAGACAGGAAGCAGTGCGCAGATGGACCAGAGTCTTAAATATACAGGCGAACCATGTATATGTAAGTGTCTGTGTCTGTGCAGTATTAACAACTAGGCAACTTAAATCAAAAAGTACTTTTTTTTTTTAGGCGGGTGGGGGGATAGATCTATTGCACAGCTGTCTGGCTGATTAATGTGTGGAGGCATCAGTGGTTCAGATCTCGTTTCACTCAGACACAGATGTCGTCAAATGTGTGACGGTACAAAAAATATGGTGGTGGAAATATTCCTCAGAGGTTTTGGTGCATATTGGCATCATAGCATCACACAATTGCTACAGATTTGTCAGTCATGCATCCCTGAGGCAAATCTCCCATTTTACCACATCCCAAAGGTGCTCTATGGGTTTGAGATCTGGTGACTGTGGAAGGTATTTGAGTGTATTGAACTTATTGTTATGTTTAAGAAACAAGTTTGGGATAATTTGTTGGAGTTTCCATAGATGCTGCTAAGGGGTAAAAAAGTGTACTAAACAAATATCCCCTATCCTATTACACCACCGGTAGCAGCCTACTCTTTGATACAAGATGGGATTGATCAATACTTGCTGTTTATGCCAAATTCTGACCTTACCATCTAAAATCGAGGCTCTTCAGACAAGGTGGCATTTTTCCCAATCTTCTGTTGTCCAGTTTTGGCAAACCTTTGTGAATTGTAGCCTCAGTTTGCTGTTCATTAGCTAAAAGGACTGACGCACAGTGTGGTCTTCTGCTGCTGTAGCCCATCTACTTCAAAATGTGATGTGTTGTATGTGTCTCAAAGATGCTCTTCAACAAACCTTGCTTGTAACAAGTGATTATTTGAGTTATTGTTGCCTTCCTATCAGCTCAACGCACCCTGGCCATTCTCCTTTGACCTCTGATATCAACAAGGCAATTTCACTCAGGGAATTGCTGCTCACTAGGTAATCTGTCAGACACCAAGGAGCATGAGGCAGTAAAAGGCACTTAAATCACATTTCTTCTCTATTCTGATGGTCAGTTTAAACTTCAGCAAGTAATCTTGACCTTGTCTATATGACTAAATGTGACAGGCTGGTTAGATACTTGCATTAATGTGCAGGTGAACAGGTGTACCTAACAAAGAGGCCAGTGAGTGTATTTTTGTCTTTATTCAAACATCTGCCACTAAACCGATACACCGTTTAATGCTTTTTAAATGTTTTTTGGTGTTTTTTTTGTGACAAACACATGTCAGAATGAGAACATCATATTTAATAACAGTGCCTTCATCTGATAATGCCATAAGGGCCTCTTAAGCATGTTCTTTATGTTTACGCTATTTAACAACTGGCCCTATTGAGCTTTTTTTTTCATTGTGTTTGCACAGCAGTAATTAAACCAAAGACTGCCAGAATCCATATTACTTTCCACTTTTTAATTTGCCAGAGTGTCTATTGTGATCCTCATTATATTCACATAATAATTTAGAGGATGGCTTTATCCAGAGCTGCTTTGATTAAGGACACTAACGGCCCAAATGACTCTTAATGCACATTTAGGAAGAGGGAACCTGTGACCATATTGTTTAACCAGCAGGAAACTCAGTGGCATGATCATTCCCGTTACACTAAGATAAGTTAGTGTCACCTTTCCAGTGCTGCAGACTGTGAGGCAGCCCTATAATGTTAGTTTGAACCACGGGAGTCTTATAAATACTGCCTTCCTCACAGCTTAACCTTAACCTTTTGTGTTGTTATTTAGTATTGTTGTAGCATTTTCCATCCTTGTTGGATATTGCTGCCATTAATTTTCTTTCCCATGTAGCTTATCATTATTATTTTTATCATTAAGTGTTTAGTCTCGTGTGATTTTGTTTGTTTACCAAAAGTTTTATTTCTTTCCATTTCTCCTTTTTTTATACAATTATCCTGCTGGTTGCATATGGCTGTTGCAGTTTGGAATCCATTTGCACAAGTTTCTGCCTTACCGTCTTCACTGCAGCAATGACACACTCCCAAGCTACTTGTTTCTCTTTTTTTCTATCCACTATTTAGTCCACCCAATGATCGATGCCACCTGTCATCAGTCCATTCCTGTGATCTTGTCTTCTAAAGTTTTTTCATTGGCATTATATAAGAAGAACTTGCAGAGTAGCTGCCGTCAACTACAAATGGAACTGAGGAATATTCAAAATGTTCTTACAGTTATACTTTTAAGTATACTTGTAATAATGTATTTATAAATATACTCCCCCTCAACCCTGCTTTAATCATACCTGAGTTTCAGATTCAGTGTGGCACCCCCTCAGTAGG